CACTGATGGGTGACACTGATGGGCAGCACTGACTGGTAGCACTGATTGGTGCAACTGCTGGGTGGCACTGCTGAGCAGCACTGATGGGTGGCATGGCTGGGCACCAATGGGTGGCACTGCTGAACACTGGTGGGAAGCACTGCTGAGCGGCACTGCTGGGCACTGATCCTCAGGGCACTGATCATCAGTGCCCTGATCATCAGTGCAGATGTCCTCTGTGTCATTTGCAGGTTATCGGCAGTACTTTCCTCACGCTGTGACACATTGGACACAGCTGATCACATGGTAAAATACCACTGTAATTGGCCTTTTACATCATCATGTAAAACAGCAATCATGGAGAGTGCCAGATGCATGCCACTGAGGGTGCACGGGGGGGGGGGGGGGGAGGGGCTGAGAGGACATCATATGATGCCTTCTCAGAACTAGACAACCGCGTTATAGCTGTCTTTTGGATATAGCTCTGTTGGCAAGAGGTTGTAATGGGAAAAAAATAACAGACACATCTATGCTTACCTGCTCTGTGCAATAGAATTGCAGCAATTGGCCCCAATCCTCCCCTTCTGGGATCCCCTGCTGGTGCTCCTGGCTCCTCCTCTCTTGCTGGTGCCCCCAGTTGAAAGCCAATTCCCATAGTGGCATTTTTGCGAGTTCACTCCCGAGACCCACTGCTGCGTCCATTGACACAGAGAGAGGGACACCGCCCCACCCCCTGCTCCCTTGTCACTTGAGTTGATTGTCAGGAGTGGGAGCCAATAGCTCCCACTGCTATCGATCTGCCAGGGAGGAGTGACATATCCAGGAGAGCCACAGCTCTCATACACAGCGCTGGATTGTGATTGGGCTGAGGTAAGTAAAAAGGGAGGGGTTAGGGGGGAGTGTGTGACACAGAAGATTTTTTACCTTAACGCATAGAATGCATTAGGGTAAAACACCTTTGGGCTTAAGAACCACTTTAAGGTAGGAAATGTTGCTATGGATAATAAAAACAAATTGATCTACATTTTATACCACAAAGTTGCCTAATTTTACTCAATAGCATGCTGTTTGGCTCTTTATTACTTTATGATAATTTAAAAAATGTTACGTATTTTTATGATTGTAATATATTTCTCTCACTTTTAATCTGTTTGGCTAAATTAATCCATCAGTGTCACCAAAGTATGTTATCAGAAATTGCACCATATATGCAGATTCTAATCTGTATATTTCTAATTTGTTATGGAAGGTATATTTCTGTTATGTTTGACAGTAACGCAGTGCAGAGGTAAACATATTATTTAAACATTATGTCTGCAATGCTCAGCTGGTAGACTTGGCCACATATGGCCATTGTGAACCTTATTCAGCAAAACGAAGCTTGGAGTATATAAATATGGATTTATTTATCATAAATCCAAAACTTGTAGAGAGACACTCAAGGGTCTTGCAAAGGAACTAGATCAAAACAGTAGCATTTTTATTGTTGCTGTTTCAATAAAGATCAGCCTATCATTCTCTTGAGAAAGATGGACTGATCTTCACTGAAACATCAACAAAAAAATGTTCCTGTTTTGATCTATCTCCCTTGCAAGAGCAGTGAGTGCCTCTAAACCAGTTTTGGATTTGTAGAATGTCTTTGTGGGTGAGCGCCTGGGCATGTACCTCATAGAGTGATGTGGCTACCCTTGGGACCATTTATTTATTATTGTATAGATGTATATATATATTCTTCAGTTTGAGCTTTCTGTGAGATGGCAGAAGAGAATGAATTCTAACTGAGCAGCAGATCAGCATTGTCCATATTTCTGCACCTCACTCTTTCCATACTTTGAACCAGTGGTGCTATCTACTGGCACTCTGGTAAAATAGAGAGAAAATCTATTGCCTTGGCAAATAAAAGTTACTTTATTAGATTGATAGAAGGGGACTACCTGTAGGTGGGGACCCTCATTGTGTCATGTTTGTGTATAAAAATGTTGCTACAAATGAGGCTGTGTGGCCACTTACTCAGGAAACACATATTCTAAAATGAACTTTCACTTTGCAATGTGTAATAAACACATAAATTGCAGAATGTAAGTAGTTATCACCATGGAAGGCTGTTTGTAGGACTACTCCAATCAAATAATGCAACACAGAGCATTGGGACCAGATCTGTGGGTAGTGGGGTAAACATCATGCTTCACTGCTGAACGTGGTTTAGACCAAGGCTGTATATGACTGGCAACACTTTGGGGGAAATTTACAAAAACTGGAGCACTCAGAGAATAGTGCAGCTGTAAATTGTAGTCAATCAACTTCTAAATTCAACTTGTTTAGTTAAACTTTGACAATAAAACCTGGAAGCTGATTGGTTTCTATGCAGAGCTGCATCAGATTTTGCACCCTCCAGTTTAAGTAAATAATCCCCTTTATATGTTAGGTTATTATTTATAAGATATAAATTGCTTAACTGCATCTGGTATTTTATCTCATTGTAATTTTCTCTTCACAATATTTAAAGCTGAATTTTAGCCACCATGAAAAAAAAATGTTATTCCCCCATCCTCACTGCAAGAGTTAATTGCTTGTTTAGTCTAAGGGGTAAGTAGGAATTTACCGCATTTCCCATTTTAACATTAGCTGGCATTCTCCTATACTCTCCTGGTGTGCAGGCAGGCTCTTGACATTCTCAAATACAGTGCAGGACCTTACTCCTAGACAAACCAAGCAGTGAATGCAATCACTATAGGTAAAGGAAATGCTTAAATTATATTAGCCTAAAAGGTCGTGATACCATTGCAAGGCCCATAATCATAGAAAGACCAGAACACAAAAACTGCCTTCAAAGAATTACTTTATTGGGGTGAATAAATTGTACAGCCAGTAAATACGGTTAAAGAGTATGCATACCCCAAACTTTCTTTTTACTTTTAAGTAGAGAAATAAAGGTTAAAAACCCATCTGATTATTTTTGCTGTTTGAGCCCCATTGGAGAGATTTCCCTTCATCTCCTGGAGACAGAAGGAGTACATTTCTGCAAAGTTAAAGGAATTCTTCTGTTAGGCTGGTTTCACACTTATTTCCCCTGCTGCGTTTGTCATTGAAATCAACAGAAACTCATTGAAATACATGTTGATAAAGTGTTACTGTGGGTTGTCACACATTTTTAATGCATCATAATGGATATCAACCCACATTAAAAAGCATTGTAAGGTGTATACCTGCAACATGTGTTGTGATGTGTTTTCACTAATTTCAATGGAAAATGCATCAAGAAAACATTGCATAGGTGTGAATCCAGCTTTAGACAGTTGTCCACAGAACAAGTGTCCGCTTTGGAAGATTTCCTCCTCTACTCTTTGTTCTGGGTAAAATTCTGAATTTCGATGACAATAACCAACAGGAACAATCGAGAGGTTGCATTTTCCCAGTGGGATACAGAGAGCGATAAACACTTACCAGGGTTTCTAAGCGTATTTGCTAAACATTTTATTGTACATTCTAACTAAACTGTTACATACTTACTGCTATAAAGGTATTTAGTGGTAGGGAGACATGGAACTCATTGATGGTATTATTTGTAAAATAAATATTATCTCATTAAAAGTGTACTTTGACCTTCAGCAGCTCATCAGTTAGATACAATAACATTCTTATTATGAATGATGAGATAATGTAATGCTAAATTCAGTACATGTCTAGTTCGTCTGAAAAATGATCTCCAGTGTATGAGTACAGATCAGTCTGACTCCATACAGCTTTCTTTAAAAAACTGGAAATCTAACTAAAAGACATCTGATCATTAATTTCTAATATTCCCCTAAAGCGTCCTTTGTAGAGGCATACTGTATACAGTATGTAGAATTAAAAAAATGATTGACACCTGACAAAATTACTTTTAAACAAGACAGAGAAAAGTTATTATAACCATGTTACTACTTTGTAGCATCAACATATTTAAGGAATTCTTAGGTCTGATTGTGGTTTATATTTGCTTTAATCATCCTCTGTAAAGCTATCAGTGCCAAATCAACAATGAAATGGATTAGAGGACAAGAGATATTCAAGTTCTAAAAACATCCTTGCTACTGTATTTTAGATTGGTAACTGTTAAAACTGCTATAAAATTGACTATTAGTTGTGACAGCACAGTGAAAATGAAAAGTTTGACATGCATACAAGAGGATGTCACAGCCAAAGGCTGTTTTTTTTTATCCAGCCTCAGATATTTTGCAGTCGGCCAAACTCCTTTAGGAAAAATAAATCTTACTGCTCATAATGTGGTATTATGGGAGTTCCTATACTTATTGGTTAATAAATTGTGGACTTGGTATTGCAGATTTCTCATCATGATTACACATTATTCTCCATTTCTTCCTGACCACCACAGATAGTGATTAGAGAAGATCAAGGTTTTGCTCCAGGTGCCTTATGCTCTTTAATGAGTCAGAATAAATGCATAAAGCATAAAATAATTACTGTGTTTATGCTTTCTTACAGTACCAGATTTAAGCCTCTGTTTTAGTTTAGAATTGACATAGAATGATCATTTTTGTACATTTCCACAATTTGGTCTATTTACTGTACACACAATGTGTAACACTTGATATTTATTCAACTATACCTGGTGACTAGCTATAACTAAAGATTTTAGATATCTCAATATCATTTACTTATTTAATTTTGTTTAACAGATTTTTCTAAATTGCAGTGCACTAAAAAAAATTCAGTTTTCCTAAAATGTTTCCATAAAGCTGTAGTTCTCATTTTTGGACAGAAGAGGGCAAACTAGTCCATCCAGTCTGTTTGTTAATAAAACCTTCCAGAATCTGTTCATGTGTTCTCCTCCCCCTGGCTCAGTGATTCACCCTCCCATCTCTTCTCTCACACACAAAGAAGAGCTGCAGCTCCGATGAAAACCCTGTGGATATTTTTAGTGCAGGAAATATGGTGTTTTCTATACAACAAATCATTTAAACTCAGCTTGGATACTTATTGGGATTACAAAAGGACTTCTCAGAAGAGGGATTAAAGACATGGACTGCAAATGCTGCTCAAATGCTTGGAAATGGCAAGTAGCTTTCTCCCTTCTCCTTTGTAGCTGGGGCTGGGTCTCTGGGCAGCTTCATTATTCTATTGCAGAGGAGTCAGATCCAGGGACTGTCGTGGGAATTATAGCTCAAGATCTTGGCATTACCCTAGCAGATATTAACAAAAGGAGACTGAGTTTGGGATCTGAAGGAAGCAGCAAATATTTTACTATTGACCAGAAACATGGAGCTCTAATAACACTGGAGAGGATTGATAGAGAGAGCCTGTGTGGATCCAGCTCCAGCTGTTTGCTGCATTTAGAGGTTGTAGCTGTGAATCCTCTAGAGCTGTTCAGCCTGGAAATTGAGATTTTGGACATTAATGATAATTATCCTATTTTCTCTGTTACTGATCAGGAAATAAAAATTATAGAGCTGTTTGCAAATCCTGGAGTAAGATTTCCTTTACCCTCTGCTAAAGACTTGGATGTGGGGAAAAATGGCGTGAGACATTATAGCTTAAATCAAAATCCTTATTTTTCTTTATCAGAAAAATATCGTAATGATGGAACTTTGATTGCAGAATTAGTATTAGAGAAAAATCTAGACAGGGAAGAGAGATCTGAACACAAGCTTATCCTCTCTGCTATTGATGGAGGAGAACCTCCCCGATCAGGATCCACTCAGATTAACATTATTGTTTTAGATATTAATGACAATGCACCAGTGTTTGATCAGGCAAGCTATAAGGTAGAGCTAATGGAAAATCTACCACTAAACACAGTTGTTATAAAGCTAAATGCCACAGATCTAGATGAGGGTGCAAATAGTGAAATATTATATTCATATGATGATCATACTTTGGATTCAGCAAAGGAAATATTTGAATTAAATGAAATTACTGGTGAAATATATATTAAAGGGGACGTAGATTATGAATTTGCTAATTTGTACGAATTATTTGTAAAGGCTGTAGATAGAGGATCACCAAGACGAGAAGGACGTTGTGTTGTTCAGGTTGAAGTGCAAGATGTAAATGATAACATACCAGAAATTGTAATTACTTCTCAACATAATGAAGTCCCGGAAAATGCCCCAGTAGGGACTATTGTTGGGTTTATTACAGTCAGAGATAGGGATTCTGGTAAAAATGGAGAGGTTAAATTGCAAATATCACCAAATGTACCCTTTAAATGCCAGCTCATGTCAAATCGTTATACACTGGTGACTAGCGGACATCTGGACAGGGAGAAAGTCTCACAATATACTATTACATTGATCGCTTCTGATCTGGGCTCTTCTTCTTTAAGCAGCCAGACTACAATCATCATTAATATTTCTGATGTTAATGATAATCCTCCAGCATTTCTACAGTCTGCTTACAATGCCTTCATATCAGAAAACAATGATCCTGGCAGACTGTTGTGTACAGTATCTGCTGGAGATCCAGATGAGGGAGATAATGCAAAGCTCATTTACTCCATAGTGGAGAGCCACATAGACAGCTCTCCTGTCTCTTCATTTGTCTACATTAACTCCGACACTGGTAATATTTATGCCCAGCGCTCCTTTGACTATGAACAGCTCCAGGTTCTACAGATTACTTCAAGAGTGGAAGATTCTGGATCTCCAAAACTGTTTTCCAATGTTTCAGTTTTCATATTTATTCAGGATACAAATGACAATTATCCCTCTATATTATACCCAGAGAACTCAGGGGAAGCCATTGCACAAGAGACCATTCCCAGATCTGCATCTGCTGATATTTAGTTAGTAAAGTATCTGCTGTGGATCTGGATTCTGGGCACAATGCCTGGCTCACCTATAGTCTTGCTCAGTCTGGCAGTCCAGCTTTGTTTCACATCTCCGAATATACAGGAGAAGTCAGAACTCTGCGAGGGTTACAGGAGACGGATAACACAGAACATCGACTTGTCGTTTCCGTTAGTGACCATGGGGAGCCTTCACTGTCCTCTACAGTCACTCTGATTGTAAATATAATGGAGAATATTGCTCAGGAAAGCCCCAGATCTCATGATTTTCTTACAAATTCTAAATCAGCACCAAATATGACTTTATATCTTATTATTTCTCTTGTAGCCATCAGTTTGGTTTCCTTGGTAACATTCGTGATATTATTAGTAAGGTGCCTTAGAAAGAATTATGACAGCAGTTGTAGTTCTTGTTTTCCAAACAAATCCCTCCCTGTGTCCTATATGGATCAGTATAAGCCAGCACTTTACCTGAACACAGATGGGACATTAAAGTACATGGAAGTAAGGATGGCTCCTCCAGAACCTCCAGGATCTTGTTATCCACCTTGTTTTCCTGCAACAACAAACATTCCGGAATCAACACTTACAAAATATCAAAGTAATCCTCAAATAGAAGAGCCTAAGCCCACTCCTGGCAGTTGGTTTAGTGAAACACATCAGGTGAGATTGCCTTAGTTTATTAAGTAATAAAAAAAATACAAATTACTTTTATATATATATATATATATATATATATATATATATATATATATATACAGTTTTGTTCACTACCCTTTAGGCTTTAGGAAACAAATAGATTATTCTTTAAATTTGGTAACCTGAACCAAAAGAAGGTTTACTGGAAAGTGAATGGTTGCTATTGGTAATACAGACCAATGCATTTCCTTCAGTTTTTCTAACAAGGTGGATTGTTGTTATGAAATACTTATTTTTAAGATCCTTGGTATTTAAATAATGGGCTTTTTTGTGATTGCAAATTTTGTATCATTTTTGGCACATCTAATGGCATAGCTATTGGCACCCAGTACAGTTACCAACTGTATATGATTTGTTTTTCTTTAATACCTACCTTTAAGCTTGTGTTTGTTGTAAGCATATGTTAAGTGGAATTCCAATCAGGCCTAGATTTTTACGTTTTGCCACCTCCATAGCCAATTGTCATATGTCTTTGCCTTCCTCACTGACTATTTTATATTTACTCTCATATGGTTTTCTACCAGCTGCAGGGGTGTCTTCTCATTACATAAATACATTTTGGCGGAAACATTTCTGCATATGTCAGTCACTTTGCATGGGTCAGTCACTCTGCAGGACGGTATTTATGTTGTCTTGGTTTGAAATCTAGAAAATCATACAATTCATGAATTAAGGTTGCCTGGATTTAAAAAATTGCAACGTTCTATATCTGCCCCAATAAAATATGAAGAATGCTGGCAGTGTTCAGCCATCTTTACCAGCATGTCATGTCTATGGGTAACTGGACCAGGTTTATAGAATATATCTAGGGGTCAACTCAATATCCAAATTATAGAACTGTGTGTAATCATATTAACATGACTGAACTTACACAGCCGGAGTCTTTAATGTTTTCAGAAGCAGAATATTGAGACAACTAGAAGAGAAATACAGCTGGCAATGAGCAAACCATAACTATAGTACACTATGCCATCAAAGAACGTGCACAAACATTGGTGAGAAATTAGTAACGAAGATCCAGCTGGATACCAGAGGGACAACCTGGTACTTTTGTATCACTATCATCAGCATTCTAGTAGTATTATAAGCAATGTACTACTACTTTAGGTATGAAACTTGTAGTTCAGGGGCCGCATGTTGCCCTTTGGCACTTACTCTGCAGCCCTGGAAGCCCCTGTGGATTGGGGTTTGTGTTCTATTTTCCTAAGTGCTTATTCATGTCAGTGACGAAAGCATTCTTTATTATGTTCTGGTAGTTTGATTTGTAAAGCAGTGGTCTCTTACACCCTCATGTACTGTATATATAACACTTAGTGGAATGCAGGCAACTTTGGGCAGGCATAGTATCTAAAAGATCATTATAGTGGATGAAGAATGGAATCTTAAGGCAAGTGGGTTCCTAAGGAAAGGAGAGGGCTTGGTGGTAAAAAGTAAAATTGCCCTTTAAGTTTAACCCTTTCACTGATGGACCTGACAGCATTGGACTTTACACACAATCCAGTGGCTGCAGTCAGGCAGCTGTGCTGCCACCCGATTGCTTCTACACACCCCCGGTAGCAGTGGCCCCCCCTCACGCACCTGCCATGTATTCCAGGCTCCACTTGTGCATCTGTGAGCCTGGGGCTAGCATGTTGGGTACCGGAAGGTGGACCCTGAAAGCGATATGTATGGCGTAATTTATGGGTCACCCCTGTCACTGACCCATGCTCTTTTATAAAAATTCCGATTTAATAAAGAGAAAATGCAGGTTGCCTCCAAAGCAGCTTTTCTGAAAAGATAGACTACAGCTTACCTTTGCATTGGACAGTGCAGGCAGAGGTTATTAGGGGCAAACTTGGTCTCCACTGTAGATTATCATGACATGCTCCATTTTCCAAGCCACCATTAACTTCTATGTCCTACATGCAGCATGATCTTCTGCAGATGACTTATTGGCAACCTACAGTTTCTGGAGGAGATCCCTTAATTTTAAGGTGTACTAAGTGAGCTTTCTGATTTTGGTTAACTCTTATGGGTCTTTGAACTCTCTGTCATGTATAAAATAGTTTGTAAAACTATACAGTACATATCATATACTATATAAAACATAACAGCAATTTAATGACTTACAAAAAAATTTAGTTGATCCCAAATCATCACTGATTCCTTTTAAATTACCTGTAATACAGTCTATTAGTAGTATACACTATAGTGTAGTAATATAATGTATAGCGTAGTAAGCATATTATGCTAACTTCAGATTTTACCGTTTTCACCTGATCTATTTCCTCTGGAATTTTAATAGAAAAATGACAATGATAGTTTCATAGCTAAATCCATTGCTAAATATTACTTTTTACATAATTATTTTAAATTTGCTGGCAAAAACTTTGTAAAACTATAAATTGAATTGGAATTTGGTATCACTCGGACAAAAAAATCTCAAATATGTATTCTATTTACATCAGGATTTAAAAAGGATAAAATTATGCATCAACCTATAATAAAAGTATATATTAAGAAAAAAAAAACACTAGCTTTTTCAACACTTTTACTGTGTCAACAGTATGTACCATTTATAACATTTAAATCTACCTTTCATAACTTCTGAAAATAAAAATTCTCTGCTTTTACTTATAATTTAAAAAATAGGTTGTAGTTATTATCTTTAGACAGAAGACGGCAGACTAGTCATCCAAACGGTTTAAAAGCAAACCT